GGGAGGGACAAAGTTTCCAGTCGCACTCATACAAAAAATAACTGTAATCAGAGCCCCTCTCTCTGCTGATGTTAATGAAGCAACTTGACGTTTGCCTTTCAGCCCTATTACTGACGATTATTTACTTTGAACAATTGTTAACCCTGATTCGTCTACATTATAAACGTTGTTCGGGGAATAGGGCATTTGCCTTTGAAGGAGGTCAAAAAAGCCGGCAACTATTTCTTTACAAAAACCTGCAGCTCTGGCAAATGATGTCCCCGTTGGCTTCCTTATTGACAATTTTGGATGTCTCTTTAAAAACAAATCAATCCAGGCTCTGCCTGCTAATCCAGATGTAGAAAATGGGTGTTTGATTTTATTCCTTATGGCCAACTGAAAAGCCATGCGCTTCAGATCTGTCATTGTAAGCCCGTAAAATTTTGACTCCTTTTTTTAAAATGTAATCAACCAGTAGCTTCTCTAGCTCTGGTCCCAAAACACATTTTATTCCAAGCTTGGTTGCTGCAGCCTTATCTGGGGAAACTGTGTTAATTTGACTCAGAAGAAAGAGCGTTGTACGAGTAACCCTATAGGTTTTGGATGCCTTGAGATATCCCATGGTTTTTTCTCTCACTACCTGGATGGCCCTAGCCATGTCCTCTTCCTTGTATTGCTTTCTTTTATTATTGCAAGACGGACGTTCAATTTTTCGTGGCATCCTAAAAATAATAAAAACGTGGTGTAAATATGGAATACTAGTATTTCATATTACCAACAACCCATGTCACCAATATTTCAGGTTAGGTCTATGCTATCATAACAAAAAACTAAACAAATGCAACGTCATCTTAAACTTTAGTTTATATACAGTGGCATCGTAACAAATATTTAAATAAGAACATGCAAATAAAAAAAATTAGGCTTGCATATTCACTTACGTGTTAAACTTTTCAGGACGCAAAATTCACATGTGCACACCTCAAGAACCAAAACCATACTAAAACGGCGCGGGGTAGATCGCCTACAATAAAGATGGCAAACAAGCATAAGTTTAGCCGGTTTTCGATAGGGGGTAGAATTTGGTTTAGTCAAAACCGAGGTAGTCCATATTACAAGCATATTCCATATTTACACCTTCTCCTCTATTAGGGATATATAATTTTCATTTACATTTTCGTTTTTAAAATATACTGCATGAGTAAATTTTGGATCGATATAATTTTTAAACAAGTTATTTGGGCTTTCTTTTATATTATTAATTGCAATTTGTACATTTTGTCGTTTTTTTTTTTGTTGGGAACAATTGTTTTATTTTTGGTTTAGCGGCAGAATGTAAGACAAAATCAATAAACATTTGGTGATCATATAAATTTATACATTTTTCATACATTTTTATTCCTAAAATAGGTTTTTCAACACTGGTATGATTAGTTTCGTCGTCATTGTCACCGTTGTCATTATTTTCGTCATGCTCATCAGTGGCTTTTTCGCGCTCTGACGTCACCCATATTAACTATTACCAAATAATTATCTTCGTCTTGTCTTTCATTTAATATTGATTCAATATAATTTTCTATATAGTAATCAGTTAATTCATTAGTGTAAACTTCTACTCGATTTGCTTTACCTTTTTTATACTCGATTTCGTAATCAAATTCGTATAGGTTTTAGCGCCATCTAACTAGCTTCGAATTTGGTTCTTTTACGGTCTAAAGATTTTTGTAGTCCAAACAATGGCTAATAATTCTTTCTCGATCGTACTGTAGTTTTGCTCAGACTCATTAGGAGTTCTAGAAGCATATACAACGGTTTTATCTTTGCCAATAATACCTTATGACAATATTGCACCGAGAGCAACATTGCTCCCATCAATAGTTAAAATAAATTCTTTATTAAAATCGGGATATTGTAAAGTTGAATAGTCTGTCAGCAGATTTGTGCATGTTTCGAAACATTTTATAAATTAAGGTGTATGTTCTATTTTCGCGTCCTTTCTGAGATAGATTGTCAAAGGTTTTGTCAGTTTGGTAAAGCCCTTAATAAACCTCCTATAATACCCGAGCAAACCTAAAGACGATTTTATTTCTCTCGTTGTTCTAGCAATCCACATACTTTGATTACTATACGGGGCAAGAGAGAGGTCCGATACGCCCAACATAGGGCGCGGACATTTTGATTCCTATGATACAGTTTATAGCTAAAGAATCAGATCGCTCACTCTGCGTCGGCACTTTTGATCTCAATGTTCCAGTTTATACACTGCGCAACTCGGATAATACAATATATGACAACCGCCTAAAATAAAACAGCAGTCTTCTGCGTATCCTGAATTTGTATCCCTGGAGTGGATGTTATTTTGGAACTTTCAACTGGTCCTAGTGAGCTAACTGATTCTTTAGCAATAAACTGTGACTCCAAAAATAATATTCACTGACACTGACAGCAGCAAGCAAAATATTAGGTGCGTTTTAATCATCCGCTTCTGCTTCCGGAATTATCGGTTTAGTCGTTTTAACCTGTCAGATTAAAACAAGAAAACCGACAATTCCGAAGCAGAAGCGGATGATTAAAACGCACCTATTAAAAATATTGCGCCAAGATGTAGGCAACACGTAATAAGGGTTCAAAATGGCGGAGTTTTCTATCTCCTTTTAAAAGGCACTCAGAAAGCTGCGCAGTGCGACCATTCTCTGTATAGTAAAAGAAAATCAAAATATGTGTAGCAATCGGATACTTTTTTATGGCGGCTATTTTGTCAGGATTAGGCTTGATACCGTCTGGGGTAATGATATGTCCTAAATATGCGACTTCAACCTTTAGAAATTCGCACTTGTCAAGTTGTAATTTAAAGTTAGTAACCTTAAGTCTTTAAAAAACCTTGTCGAGGTTAGTTATTGGTTCTTGAAATGAGGTTGAAAAAATTATAATATCATTTAGATATTTCGTTCTGAACCCTTTGAGAATATCAGTGGCGCAGCCAGAATTTTGTATTAGGGGGGGTTTTAAAAAAAATTGGGAGAATAGTAAAAAACCGAGAATATATTATAGAACACAACACATAACGTTTATATGAGGAAATTTAAAAACACATAAATAAAAAATCTGATGTAGTCAGTTTACTCAAACAGCGAACATATAAAATACATTTGAAAAATATAAATGATAATAACAATATAAAAGCTTACAGATTTGCATATATCTACCCATAATCAAGAAACGAAAAACATAGTAAGATTATAAATTTAAATGTACCTACTTATTAATTATAATAAAATTGTATGACGGCGATATTGGAGAGCTAAGATAAGACATCAAGCACTTCATCTTCCAGAATAGGAATATCTGGATGTATATACATCAAAGCTAGGCCGTTTAATCTGTCCTCGCTGGTAGCATTCCGCAAATAATTTTTTAAAAATTTCAGGGAAGAAAACGATCTCTCACAAGAACATGTTGTGACTGGTAAAGTTGCCATTATAATTAAAAGTTTGTGAATCGTGGGAAACAAATTTTTATTGCATCTTTCCAAAGCTTCAATCGCACTTCGTGGCTTTTCTGTTTTATCTTTGATAAACTGGACCCAAAGAGTAACTTCTCCCATAGTACCAGAATCGTCCAGTTCATAAAATTCCAAGAGCTGTTGGGTGGAATTAAAAACTTCTTTAATGTCTAAACTATTATTATTGCATAGAAGTTTTTGAAAAGGTTCAAGAGTATTTTTATGATTTAAAAATTTTGCATCTATTGCCTGTATTATTTGGTCGAGAAACGGAATATAAATAGCTCTTCGATAATACTCTTCCGGTGATGATCCTGGCACATTATTTCTTTTAGTTTGCCTATAAGTGGTCCTAGGTTGTAAGATTGTAATATCAAACTCATCACAAATCCTTTTTGTTTCCAGGTAAATATCTGAAAATGACTTCTTGTCGTCTTGTCTCATTTTTGTTAAAGATTTATTGACATTTTCAGCTGATTGAAGAGCTAAACTCAGGTCCAAATTTGGTGTCTGTAAGTACTTGCTCAGTGGTAAAGTTAGCGAAAACACATATTTTACCATAAAAGTACATAAAAGAAAGCTACTTTGACAAATTGCCGATGAAAGTAATTGAGCGTCAGTTGCTGTTTTTTTATCGGTCCATGTGGAAATCTCAAACAAGGCGTTTATTAGTGGGTTTAGAAGAGACACGAGTGCATTTACGGCGTCGTGTCTCTGAATCCATCTGGTGGGACATACTCTTTTAAGTTTTTCTATTTAAGGTTTTTCATCTAATTTGTTGATCTCATGTTCCAGCACACGTTACCGTTTTGGAAAATTAAAAAAATTGTAAACCGTTTCGATAGTACCCAGACAGTTTCGTACTTCTGCTACTGAACATCCATCAGAAAGTGCTAAATTGAAGCAGTGTGACGAACAATGAACGTAGAGGATTTTGGGGTAGCTCTGCCGAACAATTGCTTGTGCTCCTCTTAGAGCACCACTCATTGCACTAGCTCCATCGTAACCTTGACCAACCAGATTTTTTACATCTAGCCCTACTTCTACCATGGCATTGCATATACTATTTGCTAAACCAGCGCCTGTAACATCAGAAACAGGAATAAACTGCAAAAATTCTTCCCTGATCATGCCATTTTCCACAAATCTTACACATAATGACATTTGAGTAGTACCACTTATGTCGGTTGTCTCGTCACATAAAACCGAGAAGTTTTTTGCAGCATTTACTTTGTCAACGAGTTTTTTTAATAAAATCGAATTGAACGATGATATTATTTTATTCTGAATTTGCCAGCTAATATAAGTTGCATTAGCACCTGCTGTACTTAGGTGTTTTGCTAAAATATGATCTCCTGCCTCCATTCGAAATTTGAGTAGAGACCGAAAATTGCCCTCACCTTTGACTGGAGGTTCATTTATATCGAGTGGTCCGGAGTCACGGTGACCTCGAAATGAGTTTCCTAATCTAGCAAGATATATGGCAGTTATAATTATGGATTTAAGGCACTTCCGATTATTAATTATTTGATCGTTTGTCAATTTTTAAAATAACATTTTCAGACTTTCTCATCATAATATCTAAAAAGTTAGCTGCTCGTTCGATACAATTCTTATGATATAAATGTTTTTCATGATTTCTGAATTCTTCTCTGGCATCCTTCCAGTTTTTAAACGGAGTTTTAACTAGTTTTCCACCCTTACTAGCTTGTTGCCCGACAACAGTGGAAAATAACGAACAGTACTTACAGAACACCGAATCTAGAGTTGGGGAGTAAACTAGCCAGCTCCACTCATTAAGCCATTTTATTTGGAATTTTAAGTTTCTAGGTCCTGACGATGGAAATTTAAAAGACATATCCGGTGACCAAGGTGTTTCTAGAAGTTTCCGCTTTGTAACATCATTGATTATTTTTCCCAAATACGTCCCAAAATCAAGTACCCAATTGTCGTCTTTTTGTAACTGTCGCTCACCAATATTTTCAGATATAGGCTCTCTTTCATTTGTATCATTATTACCTGAGCTAGTTAAGTCTGGCGTAACCTGAAAGAGAAAAAACACCTTGACTTTTTTATTCAGTATGTATAATCCGGAAATATGTATTGAAAATATCGCATAAGATCTTGATGTTTTCTCATTCGAAATAAATTTACTAGCCAATTTCAAAAACTACAATATAAAAATCAGTGAATTAGTTAAAAAAAAAGGTCTGTTTGAAATTAAATTGCGGCAAATGCGGCAACGGTGCAATCGTCGCCAAGCGGCACTAGCACTCCTAGCACTAGCGTTATATTCACAAAATACTTACAATAATATTGCTGCTCTGAGCACAATCCAGTTTTGGTTTTTTTATTAAAAATTTGTCCATTGTATTTATAATCCGGGAAATTCACCTCGCAAATCACACAAATCCTCACAATTTACTTAAAATCAATATTTCACAGAAATAACACCGCTACCTGCGTAACCAGCTACTGGAACTGAATTGTGAGCCAGTATCCAAAGATCCATAACCATTTAGACACAGATGTCACATATTGTCCACGTGTTGTCCACATGTTGATTAGTAAAGACGCGTGGGTTTGACGCTTCAAAAACCCTTAACACAGAACACAGTGTTGCCAAGAATCGTCTAGCCTGCGTCGCGTCTGGGGGGGGGGGGGGGGGGGTTTAACCCCTAAAACCCCCCCTCGCTGCGCCACTGAAGAATATTATCAATAACTCTCTGAAAGGTGGCAGACGCATTTTTCAAATCCATTGGCATTCGAGTGTACTCATAGTGCCCATTTTCAATATTAAAAGGTGTTTTTGGGATATCTTCTAGACTCATCTATATTTGATGAAATCCACTCGCTAAGTCAAGGGTGCTAAAGTAATTACATTTGCCTAATTTATCCAACACATCATTGATATTCGGTATAGGGTAACGATCATCGATCGTTTTCTCATTTAATTTTCTAAAGTCTACAACTATTTCATATTTCTTTTTGGCGGAAGTATCAGCCTTTTTCGGCACGATCCAGACACTTGAGGACCAGGGACTATTACTATTTCTAATAATACCTTGATCTAACATAGTTTATATTATTTGCCTTTGAATTTCTTGTTTGATTGCAAATGGACATAAATAAGATTTTGTATAAACTGATAATTCATCATTAGTCCTTATACTATGCTTAATTTGATTTGTACAAGTTAACGGTTCATTTTCTCTGGAGAAAATACTAAAATATTTACGACACAATTTCACAATTTGTTGTTTTTCCTCAAGATTTAAATGGTTTGTACGTAAAAGATTGTCAATTTATCTGATTTTTCAGCGTTATTGTCATATGGTAAAATGTCAGAATGGTATAATTCATAATAATTTCTATCAAAAGTACTTGTCTTTAACGGTTCAATTAAAGAAAATATAATTTCGTCATCGGTTTTATTACTAATTTCGATAAAAGCTAAGCCATCTTCAGCTTTCGAAAGACTGGGCGATATTTCACAATTATTAACAATTTGCTTTGGTAGTAAAGTATGTCCTTCTATTTGTGATACTGGAATTTTCGTTAAAATACTGCTATGAGGGTCTAATTTTCTTTTAAAAGTAATTTTTCTTTTATTTACAAGATATTGTATTGGTATAATTGTATTGGGCGTAATTAATTTTGAGTTTACAAAATCTAATTGATCATTAAGCAATTTTAATTGCTCCAAACCTATTAATCCGTCGAATACATTATGAAAATCAAAGAGGTGAAACTTTAAAATTCCATTTCGATTAAATTCTGTAAATATCGGAATAATTGCACAATTTTGATGAGTAGACGTTTGATAAACAGATAAAATAATAAATGGTTCATTTAATATTTTTTCTTTATATAATTTAAATACAAGTTCAGGCCTCAAAAATGATTTAGTAGCACCTGTATTTATTAAAAGCATAAGGGGTGGATTTGAAATTTTTATATAGGGTAATTTTTTTTTATCTGAGGAAACGTTAAGTTCTATTATGTCTTGTGACCCGTTAAAGCATTTTTTGAAAATCCTCACATTCGTCATCTACGTATTCAAAGTTTTGGGTGTCTCAGTCTCTTATTTCGTCATTTTCTAATTGTTGGGATAAAATTGCGGAGTTAAATAATTTTTCAGGAACAAAATTACGTTTCTGATTAAAATTTTGAAAATTATTATAACCTTGGTTTCGAGCTTGGGGTGTAGTATTTCTTTTAGATGTACTCATGGAGTAGCTTTGGGTTGGACATAATTGGAATTTGGTTTCCATACATTTTGGGGTTTTCTGAAAACTTGATTATTTGTTGAAAATCTAGTTTTAAGAGGATTTGGAAGCCTTTGAATTTGAATAGGCCCTCTTGGGAATTGAGATGAGGTTGAGGGTTGTGAATAATTTTGATAATGATCTCAAGAATTTTGGGGAAATTGAAATGAATTTGGACGATTATAATTATTATTGATAGGATTTATTGATCTCCTAGAAATATTACTAGCGGTTTGATTTGAATTAGAATAATTTTGACCTTTTTGATAATATTTAACAATATTTTCCTCTCGTACAAATTGAATTGCAAAGTTTGTGACGAAGTCACTAAATTTTGCTCTCAATTAATTAAAAAAATGTTTATTTCAATTAATTCCCGCCTGAGGACATGTATTTCTGTTTCCCAGAAATTGCCGTTTTTCAACAATTGCGAGTACCCTCGTAGATTAAAATATTCCTATATTTGCCGAAATACGAATGGGCATTTTGTAGAGTCGATTTCGTGACGATTATCTACTTTTATTTGTCAAGGTACTAAAAGGACATTTTTTTTTATTTTTAAATTGTAAACAGTCGGCTGTAGTGGTGGTATCCCCCACTCGGGCTTACTGGTCACTGGTCATTCATCTTTCTTTACCGAAAAGCATAAATTCAATGACATCTGGGAATTATATCCTCTTCTTGCTTGCCGGACGCCGTAAGCTCTACTCTCTTGATTGCCGACAGTTGAAAACTTTTCCCCCTTAGTTAGTACCTAGTGAATTCTCCGTGAGTGCCGTGATATCGGACAAGTTCAATAATTAACCCCGTTTATCTGCTAAGGTAGGAACCGTATATTATTTTTTATATATTGGCTTTTATATAAATAGTTGGGACACCCGTGTGACAAGTGAAAAATTTTAATTCATATCCAGGATATTTTATTTCATCCCTCGTGGGAAACCGTTGGCAATTTTTATTTGAGACTATATCCAATTTCTTTTAAAAACCACCCAGTTAACATCGAAGTGAGAGGTTCGACCTGTTTTTAATTTTTTTCTATTATTTTATGGTTTTCTTTTCTTTTTTCGATCCGTTCCCGGATTAGAGTGCTCTCTCTTTTGATGACGTATCTAATTTACCAAAAGACGTTTAAATTAATTCCCGTGCCTCACTTCGTGTAAAAATTTATTTCCTTTTAATTTTTTATTCAGCTGTATTTGAATCATTCCGTTCCCTGTCCACAATTAGTTATTGAATGAAGCCAGACGACTTCTGTAAAATTAAATTCACCCACGCTCTCAATCGACCCTGGGCAAAATTCAAAATATTATTTTTTACGATCGTCGAGTCCGTTGTTCAAAACACCGCATAAAAAACCAGATTTATCACTAGATAAAAATTTTCGTTTCCCATCGTTCGGAGTTAAGATACGAGGGGGGGATTCCAACAACTTTGATTTTATTTATTTGCTTGCATTTGATTACCGTCATATTTAAATTGTTTTCAAGTGTATTAATTTATTTTCCATAAATTTTCCATATACTGAGCGTTTCACGATTCCCAGACCGCTTAGCCTCCTGTGCTAATGAACCATAAACATTTCCCTATATTTAAATAACTTTCAATAATTTATCTTTCACACATTTTTCAGATATAGGAATCCGTCAGTATTTAAATAGTTTTTATTTGCAATAACTTATTTTTCGTAAATTTTCCGGATATAGGGATCTGTCAATATTTAAATAGTTTTCAACTTTAATAATTTATTTTTAATAAATTTTCAAATACAGGGAGTTTCATAATTATCAGACCGCTTAGCCTCTTGCGCTAATGAACCATACACATTTCCCTACATTTAAATAATTTCCAATTGTAATAATTTATTTTTCATAAATTTTCCGGATATAGAGATCCGTCAATATTTAAATAGTTTTCAGTTATAATAATTTAATTTTATTAGGTTTCCGAATATAGGGAGCCGTTCATATTTAATTACCGTTGTATTATTTTTTGTAAATATATATTTTATTATCTATTCCTGTGTTTCTCTTATTATTAGTTCTTAACCGTTTTCTTTCAGGGTACCGTAGGGTACGAGGTGTAAAGGAGATAAGTGTTTTATTTTTATTTATTCTAGTATGGTGGCTACATAGCAGTGACCGCCTGGAATTATTTTTACCTCCACTGAGTTTACCTTGAGTACACTCTGGTGTACCACAGGGTCGCAGAGCAAACTGAGATACCAAAACTGGCGCCTGAGCAACCCCTATTCGGGAATCACCTTCATAGCACCAAACATACTCGCTGATTCTCTGTAGGTAAACCAGAAGCCTGTCACAAGTTGTCGGTCTCATTGCACGAATTATAGGACCTAATGGGTCTTTTAACCCAGCTAAAAATGATTTTAAATCCTGTTTAGTGAAAAATGATCTTTTTGAATCTCGGTCGGTCCCTTGGTAATGTATATCAATGTATTTGCAAACTGTATTAAGCAAAGCGATAATTTTTTTATGAAATTCATAAGGAGATTCGTTATATCGCTGCTTCATATTGACTAAATCTTGATTTAAACAATTTTCGTCTCTTTCATCACCAACATTTTCGCATAATGAATTTTTTGTATCAGACCAAGTATCGGCATCGGTAATTGTCACTACTTCCTCAGCTCAACCTTCTAACTTATTTAAAATTCTGAAAATAATGATATAAAATTGATTGATAAATGTATGTAATTTCCTAACGTTTTCGTCAAATGTTGGAGTAACAGTTAGACTTTTTATGTATAATATCGGCACAACCATGTTTTTAACAACAATTCAATTATTAAAATTATTTATTAGCTCTTAATCTACGTTAGTTGAATCTAATATATTATTGCTATAATCTAACTATTCTATACTATCGATTTTGCTTAAGGATTCGCTAGGAGAAGGGGAGTCTGACATGAATTAAAACTTATTTCATCGGCAAATTGCTTCTGCGGCTGGTACTTCTTCTGTTGCCCACTGGTTTCCTCTATGGAGCCCAAAAGAACTGGAATTTTTATATTCGATTCGGTTTTCGTTAAACAGTTGAAACTCACAGATTTTTCACGATGAATTTTTCCTACGAAAATCCTA